CGGGCCAGGTGTCCAGGGTGACCAGCAGGACGTGTCACAGCCAGAAAATCCAGAGGTGCCCAGCGGACCCCTGCTTCCCAGGGAAGCTGTGGTTGTCATGGGAACCCGTGGGCCCACAGAACCCCTATAGGAAGCATGTCTGGGGTTGGGACTGTGGGGTCACATTTGCAGAACACAAAGCAGAGAATCTTGACTTAGGACATTTGAAATCCAAAAAAGAGGATTTTGTGCCAGAAAAGGAGGAGAAAGTCTAGAGTCGGCCGGAAACACTGTCTGGGGGTGGAGGGGCCTGGAGCATTGGGAGAAAGAACCGGGCCCCATGGGCACCAGGACCCCGCACCGTGCCAGCTGCTCTCAGGGCCACATGTTGTGGGACCAGGAGGACCCTGGTGGTGGGTCAGGGCGCGGGGGTTCTAGGAGGAGGTGGCTCTGGAAAGCGGAGGGAAGGAGAAGTCCGTCAGCCTGGGACTGACGCTCCAATGTCAATGGCCCTGACAGACCTGTGTGCGGTGGGGGAGGGGGTGCAGCAGAAAGGAAGCCGTCCCCTCCCAGCCCTGGGGCCCATCCCTCTTCTCCTGCCTGGCCTGAGAGTGCCAGCACCCGGGCTCTGCAGCCAAGCCTGGCCACCCCACTCGGTGACCCCCAGCTGTTCCCACAGTCCAGACACACACCGCAGACCCGGAGTGGTTTCCACACTGTTTAATGGAGTCAAGTCACAAGAAGCCATCTAGGATTTCTGGGATTCTGTTCCCGCTCCCGACTCATCTCTGAAGGCCCCTCCCCTGCTCCCTGAGCCCCCTGCCGGCAGGAAAACACAGAGCCTTGAGAGGCTGAGAGGAGCAGAAGGGTCTCGGGGCAGGGACCCGCTGCGAGCGGGTGAGGCTGGGACTGGGGAGCAGCAGGGGTGTCCCCAAGGAAGACGGGGCCTCCTGGATCATGTAGACCCCACTGCACCCCAGCTAGGGTCTGGGGAACGGAGGGACGTACTGGCGGATCCAGGACACGTAGCTCGTCACGCGGGCGTACACGCCGGGGTAGCCACGAAGGCCGCAGAATTTGCCCCAGCTCACTACCCCCACCTGGACCCAGGTGCAGTTCCACCTGCACACCAAGGGGCCTCCAGAGTCACTCTGTGGGGAGAGAGATGCTCAGCAAAGCCCTTGCGTGCACCCACAGCGACGGGGCTGGTGGGCAGGGGCACGGAGGAGGCAGGGCGGGGCTGGGGTCCCACCTGGCAGGAGTCCCGGCCCTCACTCCCAGCACAGAGCATGTCGTCTTGGATGACTCTGTCGTCGCTGCCTGAGGACTCATTCTGGTACTGCTGCTCACATTCCCTGTTCCCCACGATGGGGACGTCCACCTCCTGCAGGTGGTAGGGTGGGGGCAGCGACTCTGTGGGGAGAACATGAAGCTGAACCTGGACGTGGGGGGCCCTGCTTCTTCCTTAAAACAAAGACCTCACTCCACCCAATGCGGGGCCTCCCCGTCCTTCAGCAGAGAGCACAGGGGAGCCCCCACCCATGAATCCTGACCCAGTGACTCAGTTTCCCCAAGTACACTATAGTCAGGATCTGACCACATGACATCTGAGGGTCTGGACACCAGCCCAGCACCAGGACACAGGGCTCCTCTTGGAAGCAGGGGCAAAGCCGCAGGACTCAGGACCCCGGACCAACCCTCCATCCACAGCGGAGGAGCCTGGCCTCGGCTGCCATTGGCAGAGTGGAGCTGGGAAACACCGGGTCTGGAGCGGCGGCCAAAACTGCCTGTCCAGAGCAAGTCCCCGTTCCTGATGTCCGTCACAGAAATGTCCTATCCAAAACCTGGGCTTGCAAAGGGGGTCAGGTTTGCAAGGGAGCTTGCAAAGGGGATCCCAGAAGCCACAGAGCGAGGGATTTTCCGCAAGACCCAGCCCCACGTCCTCCCCAGAGAGCCTCGCTGACACCCACGGTTGTACGTAATGTCACCCCAGCCGGTCACCCAGCAGGTCTTCCTCGAGGGCACGTCCAGGGAGGCAGGCGGGAGCGAGACCGGGTGGACGAGCTCAGACAGCGGCACTGGGGCCTCCAGCTTCAGCAGGGCGATGTCTGCACCGCCCTGGGCCGACAGGCTCTTGTTGTACCGGGGATGACGGACGATCTCAACCACCTTCGTCGGCTGGTCGTCCTCATAGAGCCTCAGCTGCCCGACCTGCACCCTGAACGCACAGGCCTCCAGCTCCTCCCTGGAGAGAGGAACGGGCACCTCTCAGAGCAAGGCTGGATGCTCAGGACCGGGGCTTTCCCTGAATCCCGGGAGGGGCCCCCGGCACACAGGACACCTGCCCGTCCCCACCCCCACTCCCACCCGCCGAGGGGACGGCAGGCTCCACTCACGGCTGGAGGCAGTGGGCGGCGGTCAGCACCCACTCTGGGTGGATGAGGGAGCCCCCGCAGATGTGCTCCCACAGGCCCTTCTTCCTGCTGTAGAACCTCAAGCTGACCTGCCAGGGGTACCTCCTGGCCGAGACGTCGCAGCCCCCGACGATGCCCACCAGCTCACGCCCCGCGCCGGGCTCTGGGGAGGCAAGGGAGGGGCGTGAGGGGGCCGGACGAGGGTCTTCCCAGGGCTCAGGGGCACCAGGAAAGACCAGCAATCAGACGGTCCCCACGTCCCCGGCAGGGCTGGTGCTGTAAGCCCAGGGCAGGGAGGGGGTCCTGAGCAGAGGGGGCATTGGGTGGGGTGGACTCGCCTGGGTTCCTGGGCATGGAGCCCCCCAGGCAGGGGAGGGTCAGGACCAGCAGCCACAGCATCTGTGAAGAGGCCTGCAGTGGGGAGGGGGACTCCAAACACCAGCTTCTGGGGACGGAGGTTGAGCTCAGGGATTCAGCTCTGACAGGAGCAGCTCCCTCCCACACTGGCCTCCACACGCACCCCTCCCGGGGCCGTCTCGCTCAGGGCCCCCTTTATCCTTCCGTCACAGGAAGTGGGTGGAGGCTGGGCAGTCCTACTTTGTGGGTTCAAGATGTGCCCAAAGAG